TTCTTTTTTGTTTTTAACTATATAAATAGATTTAAACAGTTTAGCAGAAAGAGAAGCTAATTTTTTTTTATCAGGGTGCCTGAAACACTGCAATGCTCTGTCTGCCACAGATAAATATCAAGTGCCTGACAATGGGAATTTTGACACTGTAAAATTTCATCGAGAGATCCGAGTGGATGTAAAGAAACAATGATTATGTTTGCAAAGTTCTGAGAAGTTCGTCTAGTGTCCAAACTTTGGAATAAAGTCCATATATTTTTTTTTCTTTCTTTACTTAGACAGTTATATACAGTGCTGTTGTAATAATGAAACGAATGTTATCTACTGTAAAGTTGCACGATACAGAAAACTGCTGCTCCATCTTCTACTACATACATGTGACTCCACAGGATAAAGATGCAGGATCTTCCTTTGTTAAGTTGGGATAATACCATCACTTCTAAGACCTCTCTTCAGTTCTAGGTCCTCTAACTTTTTCCAGAGTTCTTCACGTTCCTTTTCTTTTTTCTTCTCACTGGCAAACAGAAGAAAAAGGAACACAATTATTGCTTCCAGCCAAATCGGAGAGTCTGTGCTGCACTTAGACCTGGTTCACACTGAGCCTTTTGTAGAGCTTTTGCTGCCCTACAAAGACGCTCAAAAAATATCTTCCCCCAAAAAAATCCCATTTAAATGGCCCTGCTCACATCTGAGCATTTTGTCGCAATAAGCAAAATACCTGTTGCTGGAAAAAGTACAGGAGCTTTTTTTGGGTCAGATTACAGCTCGTTTTGGTCCCATAGACTTAATAGGAAACGCTTGAAAATGCACGCTTGCTGTGTTTTTGCCCATTAACGAGCTAAAATTTGCTTAAAAAAAAGGGTGCGACTTGATTCATGCCTATAAGTCGCACGTAAAAACGCACAAAATTGTTGTCATCTACGTGTGAACCCATCGTAAGGCTCCATTCACATATGAGCGGTTGAGCAACTCTAAACCTAAAATACCATGTCATCTAATGTGCATAATTCAGACTTTTGCGGCGGGTGCACGGTTTGAAACCGCGCGGCCTGCTAAATAGATTTTTTTTTTATGCGGATTCGGCACGTTCGTGGCTATATAATTAAAGTATAGTTTAAGTCTGGAACTCGCTGCCACAAGCAGTGGTATCAGCTGAGACTATTGAATCATTCAAAAAGCATTTTGATACCTTCCTCAGAGACCGTAACATACAGGAGTACAGGTACTCTTAAAAACAAGATAATACAGGGACTTGTGTACACACACACACACACGTTTCACTTGATGGACCTGTGTCTTTATTCAACCTCAAATACTATGCAACTATAATAACCGCAAACGAGCGGAATCCATGCAGTTGTTAAAATTATAGTGTTTGCGCCCCGTGCGGTCTTTCGCACAGAACACCGCATGGGGAAACACAAACGCTATATGTGAATGGACCCTTAGAGTTGGTATACATTGCCCAATCTTGCCCCAAAGTCAGTGCTTGGGTGACAAATCGGACCATTAAGGTCTACCTTAGGAAGGGAGATAATAGTCACCTCCAAGTTCACAAATGCTTATTGTTAAATTTTTCGCACAATTTTGTTACATACGGACACAAGTGAGATTAAAGAAAAGACATATAATCGATCAATTAAAACCAATATAAAATAAATATAACACATTAAAAACACCCTAGGAGGAGGCAAACATAGTTACAACATTGTCATACATCAAGTCATTGTTTTTAATGACAGTATCTCCTTGCATGTACTGGCAAACAGATAACAATTGTCTAAAATCCGTGTGTTTGGCACGGAGCATCTACTGTCAACGTCAGCTTAACCCATGCTTCATTACCCTGCCTGCTACAGATCACGAACACACAATGTTCTGCCATATGCAGTGCTTTCATCTTTCTGAGATGTGAAGAATAATGAACCTCATTCATCAAATTTCAGGGAAAAAAAGGCCTTTTGGCCTCTAGCAACCACATTCTCCTCCTTTAAATTTACGGTAGAACTGAAAGATTAGATGGTAAATATGAAGTTTGCTAAAAGGAAGAAAAAAATAAAACTCCCTTTCACATTGTTGCAATGACAAAGCAGCATAATTACCAGAACAGCAACATAAAAACCTAAATCCAGCTAAATCTTTTAGTATTGGACAAAGAAAGAACAGAGCCCCAGACACATTCTTCCTGTGGTATGTGAGCACACTGGAGAGATTTCCCATCACCTCCTGCCGGGACAGGAAGTGGTGGTAAACATTTTGCACTGGGGCACAGACTGCTAAAAAACAAACACACACTTGTTCAGTACAATGGGTAAGAGTTAGAATCTCTAGTCAGGTTATTATTACTGTTTTTGTCTTCCTGGCCCAGTAACAACCACTCTCCTTTATTTCTGGTCCTACTGCCACGGGGACAGGATGCGAGTTGAAATCTCCCTAAAAGATACAGCATGGTGGAAGAATGCCTAGTGCTCTTGCCCTGTGGATCTGACGTTCTAGGCATGCCCACCAATTCTGACAATGCCTGAATTGTGTTGGTTCTCTCCGTAGTTCCATGCTCTCTTTTCCTCCCCAAACCCAAAAATATACTGAGAACCTAACTGGTCCTTGTGCAAGTGTCATGGCCAGGGCACTGAGCTGATTGTCCCAATGAAAACAAATGGCTACAAAAATTGCAAACCTGCTGCTGATGTAGCATAGGAAGCTCATAGTCCTAAATCAGACAACGAAACATAATTATCCCCGCACTTTCAGAAGGTTGCTGTAGGTTGGATTTGTGCTTCTTGAAACCAGTCTGGTTGTCAAGTAAACAGCTACCTGATGACCATGTACAAGATGGGCTGACCTCTATGCAATACAGCACTGAATACAAATAAACCGGACACCTACAGATTACAGAGTTTCTCCTGTTTTCTAATACCTTTGTACTAGCATTATTGGCTGCCCTAAACCCCATCAAACTGCCAATGTGGGCAACAGCCACCCAAGAAAAGGTAAGGGTTTGAGGTAGGGCTGGTAATGATTAAAATTTTCGTGTTCGATTAATCAAATTTGTTTTTAATCGAATAATCTATTAATTTCGATTAATTATAACGCACATACAGATCCAACTACATTGGCCCATACACATACAGCACAGCAATGAAGTAATAAAATGAACTAGGACCACACTAATTCAGCACGTTATTAATCTCACGTGCCCCACTCAATATGCTTGAGTGGGGCAACTCAGAATAATAACATGCTAGATTAGTGTGATCCTAGTTCTTTTTATTACTTCATTGCTGTGCTGTATGTGCATAGGCCAATGCCTTGGCTGGCGCTCGTGCAGAAAGTTTCTTGGGCAAACTCACCGGCCCAAGTGGCTCCGTCAGCTAACGAAGGGGGGAGGAGTCCGGTGACGTCACGGACATCAACGTCACCGGACTCCCCCCCGGAGCCACTTGGGGAAGGGGGGAGGACTACGGTGACGTCGATGTCCGTGACGTCACCGGATCGCCGACGGGACTCCCGGAAGCCAGCGAAGACGTGAGTGTTTTCATTAGCGATCAAAATAAATTTTAAATCGATCAAAAAGTTTAACGATTAATCGACAAATTAATCTTTAATTTCCACAGCCCTAGTTTGAGGACTTCCTGGGTTTGAGGGCTTCCATTTATGCACACTTATCGCTTACCTATTTTGCACAGTATAATAAATATCAGTAGGAAAAGGGATTTTAAATGGGATATACAACAGCTGTAGGGAATCCCGAGGACATCCAGGCTTGTAATCACCTTTCCCGCTGATTTGGAAAGAGTGGGGAGGGAGGGACTGCACAGCATCATGAAGAACAGCTGCTGAGAGCGGCTATGTACCCTGCACAGCAACCAACTACACAGGCAAAGTCGTTTGCTGCATTAAAATGACTGAAGCTGATTACTGCAGATTGATGGGCCATTTTGCTATAATAAGGACCTGAATGGTGATCTACTTTTATATTCTAATGGGCGCTGCCTTTAATGTGTTGTGATTGTCCTGGATACAGGTGCACTTACAAAGGACTTGTAGGATTATAGCTGTATAGAGGACAAAAGACTAGACTCCAGTATTGCCTGTAGGCTCCCTGCAGCTGATATTCTCCCCCTTACTGACTTAACATGCCTTGTTCCACCATCCTGCCTCTCTGTGGAAGTGGCCATTTTGGTGGAGGAGCCAGACTTTTGTTTCTTTCATGTCCAATCAAGTCCCCTGATGACTTGTGATGTGATGACTGGTGGGGTAATTATCAAAAAGCAGCAGGAGAGGTAGAGAAAGCATGAATCCACAGAATGAATAGGAAATGGGGAGATCCTTGCATCTTGGGTCTCTATAAAGTCCTCAGGAGAAAATTGAGCAGCACAGTACTAACTTTAGGATAATGCTGATAACAAATGCTACGCAGGGAATGTATTATTGTCATTAGGTAGATAGACTCAGAGAACAGCATTGTGAGAGGAGCAGTAAAGCACAATTAGTAAGCACTGCAAAGCAGAAGTACAACCTGTATATACCATAATACACATTATACCTGGAGACAGAATTTTGAAAACATATTGATAACATTAAACTGATATTTGCAGCATGTTTAGCTAAACTAAAGAAAAGAAAAATACAGAAAAGGCTATACAACCTCTTGAAGGCTTGTTCACACCATGTCTGGAGCAGATCTGCAAACGCAGTTCTGTGCAGATTTTTCTTTTTAGCTTAAAACGGGCTTTCAGGTGCAGTCCAGTGCGTTTGCAGGTGTTTATGAGTTTACATGCGTTTTAGTGCGTTCCAGACCAGAGGGGGAAAAATAGTGCATGCAGCATTTTTTTCCCTGCATCGGAACAGATTGCACTGGTGTGAACAGAGTCCAGAAATAACACAGGAATACATTGGGATGCAATTCGGCTGCGTAGAAAAACTGTTCTGGTCCAGACATGGTGTGGACAAGCCCTGAACGTGTATATAAACCCAAGAACAAAAATCTACATTGCAGCTTACCAATCCGTATACGTAGCAGTTGAATTAGTTCTCTTATCAGGCTTCTGGTTCCCTTGTTTTCACCTGGTGATCCTGCCAGTAACACACTTTCTGTCCTAGTGTGATAACACTACTGCTCCATAGATACAGTACAATAAGTGTTGCCACATTAAGACTATTGAACAACTTCCCCTCGTCTACATAACATAGGGGGAAGGAGTTCTTTTGTTCACAGTTCAGCTGAGAGCGCCAACATTGTGAAATTTCAGTTCTGTACACAGTAAGTTACAATGAGACCGATTTACTGCCAGGATCAACATGAATTGTTCTGTGCTTGCAGAAAAGGCACTTGGCTTAAAAGAAAAATCTAATGCAGCCACCACATCTAAGGGCTGATAAGCTGCAATGTATTAAACGGTTTGCTCTTGTGTTCAGATATGCTTTTAGGCACAGAAACGTTCAAGGAGTTAGGCTTCCATCTCTGCAAACAAAAGTTATAAAAAGTTACCGCTGGCGATCTGACTTGTATGTGGCGGTCAGTTCATCAAACAAAGTGCTGTTCATCTCCATAAACGCTTTTAACACATTGTAGACGAGAGCCACGATCGCCCTGGTTAAAGAAGACACAGAATACAGGGAATTAAAAGATGCTAATGTATGAATTGATTCTAAGGCTATACAAGAACACATATCTACAGATCTATGTATTTGCGGGGGTATGCATGCATTTAAACATTTCAAATGCTAAAACCAGGCTTGAGTTAAAGTGAAGGTCCACCTATGTAGCTGGCATAGCTGTTAACGTATCAGCAAATTCTGGCACTACCAACCATATCAGAGTATACAGGAACGGGGACCTACAAAATTGTCCAGTCTTGTACAAGCCAGGAAATGCACTGCATCAGCCTCCGCTCACATATAGCGTTTGTTGTGCGGTTTTCCATGCAGAAGACCGCATGGCACAAAACCGCTAACATCTTTACAACTGCACAGATTGCGCTCGTTTGCGGCTATTACTATAGCCATGAACGTGTGGAATCTGCCCCTGAAATCGCACTTGGACTATTTTGCGGGGCGCAAAATATCACGCGGTCTGTGCAATAGCGTGAACAATGCGCATTGAAATTATTTTATTTTTTTATATATATTTAGAGCGTTTCTGCACGTATTCGTACGGCCGAATATGCGCGAAAAACCACTTGTGTGTGAATTGAGCCTTAGGGAAAGTCTTATTTTACAACTGCTCAAAAACGTACATTTGATTCATGATAGGTGGATAGGAATTAATCAATAACACTATTCATCAAATTATGATTTGATGAATCCAAATTGTTAAGACCAGTAAAAGGTAAAGACCAGAGCTTTTTTGGGTAGACCAAGTCCTAAGCAGGTTGTGGGGCTAACTGGAACTCCTCACTCCTCATAAAAAGGACCAATATACTTCTGGCGACAACTGGGTAAATGGGGTTGCATCCTTTGACTGACTCAACAAATACTGTACAGGTCTAAAAGTGTATGTAAAAGGTAAAACTATTTAAGTTTTGGATAGAGTGGGAAGCATGGGACTCTCTGCCAAGTTTGTACTGCGGTCTGTGTCCTCACTGTGGAGTTTCCCCCTGTTATGTGTCCTGGTGACCACTGTCACAGAGACAGAAAAAATTGGGGAATCCTACATTTTAGAGTTGTCATGGTCATTGAACAATATTAGAAGAGGAGTGAAAATTGTACACAGGAGGAGGTCACCCTTACTTTTTTTATTCAGAGGACTACAATGTAAAGTAACTGAAAACAGAAGCACAACTAATATATTAACAAAAATAAAAATGAAAAAGGAAGGAAGACCGTACATCTGCTCATATTTGAAGCTCAAGCCAGACAGCATAGCCAGATAAGTGACATCACTTCTTTCCATTGCACTTAAAGCTGAACCCCAAGACAAATATCTCAATTTTGGATTGACAGTCCTGGTTCTTATTTCTGCCCTCTCTCCTCACATCTAAAGCCTGTTAGAATCAGAAATGGCATGAACTGATATGGAAACAAACCCAGGTAATCAAACCAGCTGTCTAAGAAATTAAAGTGGGCCCAACCTCAAACAGTGATGATTTGCTATAGTATAATGGAACATCTGGAGATGTTAATAGAGCACAGGCAGTACCCTGAAGAACTTGCCATTTGTCCTAAAATTCCTTAAATCTGTATATCTGCAGTGTGAGATCTAAGGCATTGTGCATCTGACTGCTAGTTTCAAGATCTGGAGTGAGATTTGGTGATGTCACTACTGTGCAGCTCACTGTTCTCCTTGTTGGGGACCTGTAGTATACAGATCTCACTGCCTCTGGTTGATTCATTCTGTACATGTGTGCTTTCTGAATGTCTCCATCCTCTGCTTTATTATTCCTCCGTCAGATCACCAATCATCAAGGGGGTAGCTTTGACATAAAGATGCAGAGTTCTGCTCCTCTAGTAAGGTGCCTTCACAATGAGCAGAAGGCGGCATGGTAAAACAGTCATGGGGAAACAATCAACTGCACCAGTTAATACTGGTGACTAAACCTTTGCCCTCTGCTTGCCTCTGCTATTGTGTACAGCTTTCATAGCACAGGGTCTCCATTAGTTATATTTATAAGAAAGATATAACTGTCTGGAGTTCAGCTTTAAAGCAACAATTGGGTAACAAGCCCAGAGGGTTATCATTAAACTACTAAGCAGAATGAAAAGGTTTAGACAGGACCCAGGAGACCACAAACACCCCTCAAGCCAATGAAAACCATCTGCACTCCAGTACTATGATAACACCTGTGGCTCTAAGCAGAAAACAAGCAGCAATTTCCACTTACGGATTCCAGTGTTCTTTAGAAATCCTGTAGAGGCTTGCAAACATGATGGGAAGGATCACATTTGAGTTCTCCTCTATTAGACTCATGATGTATTCATTGTTCCAATAGTATAAAGCTCGCTCTGCTACCTATTGTAAACAAAACAAAAAACACATTTTAGGGTATCACATAGTATTTGAGGTTGAATAAAGACACAGGTCCCTCATGTTCAACCTTTGTGTGTCTGTATGCGATTGTGCATATGGGTACACGAGTCCCTGTGTGACCTTGTTCCTGTACCTGTACCCCTGTATGTTACGGTCTCTGAGGAAGGTATCTAAACGCTTTCTGAAAGATTTAATACTCTCAGCTGATAGCACTGCTTGTGGCAGCAAGTTCCAGACTTTAACCGCTCTAACTGAGAAGAAGCCCCTATGCCCCTTGTGGTTAAATCTTTTGTCTACCAATTTTAGGTGGTGGCCTCTTGTCCTTGTTATGGAGTTTACTGTAAAACGTTTATTGCTGATGTTGCCATCACCAAACATTTTGTACATCAAAATCATGCCACCTCTTAATCTCCTCACTTCCAGCGTGAACAAGTTTACATTTAGTAACCTTGTCTCATAGCTTAGGTCCTCCAGCCCCTTAATTAGTTTAGTTTCCCTTCTCTGGACTTGCTAGCAAAAGTGTGTCTGTTTGGATCCAAGAGGATGAAAGTAACCCAGTATTAGGTGACTGGGGGGAAATACATTGTGCTGTGTTTTATATACTCGACACTGCTCAGCTATGTCCACTTTGCTTTACATTATATACACATCGCATTGCCTGGTTGTATACATTGAGAGTATACTTCGCTGTGTACACAGCTTTATATACTTCACAGTGCTCTGCTCTATACACCGGGAGCGTTAGATATGTCAGTTCCTGTCCTGTACACTGTATACTCTGCAGTCCTACGCTTTATAAACTATGATGCAAATTATGTATTGCTGGTCATATGAATACACTGAACAGCAATACATTTCCATTGCTACTTCACTGTACTTTTTATGGTGTCAATCATATACCCTGCCGCTGCACTAGTTCTAACCTGTGGTAAGTAGGGATGCACCAATACCGGTATTTCTGTATAGAGTACCGATCTTTTTTTTCCGGTACTCGCCGATACTGAATACCGAGTACCGGAAGTCCCATTCAGGAAGCCAGGCAACGTGTAATGACTCTGCAGCTGGCTTCCTGATTAGCAGGGAAGCCGTCCCCATGCTTCTCGTCACTGTGTGACGAGAAAGCATGGAGCGGGCTTTCTGGCCAATCAGGAAGCTGGGCGCCGTGTAATGACGCGATGCCCGGCTTCCTGATAGGCCGGGAAACCGGGCTCCCTGCTCCCTCATCATGAGGTGACGAGGGAGCATGAAACGGGCTTCACGGCTTCCTGATACAGGAAGTATCAGGCTAGGCATCGGAGCATTTGGGCGAGCACGAGGACTCGCCCAAATACCCGGCATCGGCAGATACTAGTATTGGTATATCCCTAGTGGTAAGCGCATTCTTTTCATCATAACCATTTAAGCTTATAATAAATCATAAAGATTGCTTTATAGTTAGGGTGTACTGGGAAATTATCGAAGCTATATTATCTGGCCTCTAAAGGGCTCATGAACATGGGGTTAGAAATGCTGTGTTCATATTCGTACAGTATATAGCTTTATACAGATCTAAATATAGCAGTATTCTATATTATGGTCCCATGCAAACAACTGCAGGGGACTCATAAATCTTTAAGTCCAGCGGCAGTGAGAAAACTCTGCATCTGCAGTCAGTACTTCCGCATAACACGTGTGTACATGCTGGGATTGAAAAATTAGCTAGAGGAATGGAAGAAAAGTTGTGTGAATGTTTTATGGGTCTAAACGCATGTAAAACAAAGCACTTTAAAGTCCATTACACAAATTTTTTTTACACAGCAAGATCCCGTGCAGATATACTTAAGGTGCTTATACACCTTACGATTATCGGACGAAACTTTTCGTCCGATGATCAAATAGTCTACGATTTTCGTACGGCAGCCCCATCCTGCCCCGATGATCGTAAGATTAATTCAGCCGTAGTTAACGAAAAGCACCTGGACGAAATGCGGTAATTGATTTGCTGTATTCTCGTTAGCGCAAGCGCAGTGTAGATCGTACGACGTTTGACGGACGGAAACGCCAGCAACCTTACGACAATCGTACGATCTAGCAAAGCTTTCAAACATGCTTGACCGTCAAAAGTCGTATGATTGTACAGTACTGGTCGGTTGGACACTGCAATGCACACATACGATTATTGGCCCAAAAGTCGATCGCATACGAAAATCGTACGATAATCGTAAGGTGTATGGGCACCTTTAGTTTATTACACCCATGTATATGAGCCCTAATAGAGACAATTTGTACGTATATGGCGCCCTCTAGTGGTTTACCTGCACAATGTTTGCTTTCACATTTACCAGAAATCTAAAGCTGCCTACTGAAACAAATAAAAATGAACGTTGTCTCTGTCAACAGCCTGCTAACAGTGAACCAGCAGGTGAAGATGGCGGTGTCAAATAGGCAGGCAGATAACCGAGGGCGCTGCAAAGGTGTTACCTCCTGGTGTATGCAGTGTAAATCATAAGACTGGCTAACCGTAACATAAAACAGCTTAGTCCAAATCGTAATAGATCCTGTATCCTTAAAGGATACCTGAAATAGGTGATATATGTAGGCAGCCATTGCTGACCGATCTTCTGAAAATTAGAGTTGGGTACCTGGTAACGCTGTTTCTATGAATCTTCCAGGACAGCCTGTTCTGGTGGGAGGCGCCTATCTCGGATACTGTCCTGGAAGATGACTAGAGAAAATGTGAGTTCCCTGGCTGCCAAACTGATCCACTATAAGTACGTTGATGCTTTCTGATTTCACCTGCTGCAAGCTTGTTATGTTAATTACCCAAAATATACTGAAGCCAAAGACAGACAGGTAACTAGCCTTTGCATGATATGGCAAGCCTAGTTTGTCAATGTAGGTTTCTTTTAAGCTGCACCCTTACAGCCCCAGTACAGAGCACAGGTTGTGAAAAATGTGTTGCGACAGTGATATATTTAGGTGTTTCATGACAGCTAAGCGTGTCAAACGTTTTTCTGGCAACCTATCCTTAATACACAATCATGGCAACAGTGACATAGCATGGAGACAGATATGAGAAGAGGGGCTTTACAACACAGAATAAAAATAATCCATGATTAACAGAAGGACTAAATGAACCTCACAAACTCTCAACATTTACCACCTTTCTACTACTGACTTTTAAGACTAACAAAGGCAAAAGTCTGTATAAAAAAAAATGAAAGTGAATATACAAGTCCCAGTACACTGACCACCCGTCCTGATGGAGTACAGGATCCCAGATACATGTACACATGAATCATACATTTTTACCAAATGCGAGTAGTAGTGCTCACCTGGAAATGAGGGCTGGAGACACACTTGGAAATCTGTTTAAACAAAGGCTCCTGGATTTTAACAAACTGTGAAGGTTCAATGACATCCAAGATCTCTTCAAGCTCCCCAAGATACATAACCTACAAAAAAACAATGACCATCTTAATATAGGTGAAGATTACAGTTATATGCAATTGAGAGCTTTAAAAAGTAAAGAAATTGAAAAGCTGCTTTGCAAAAATAAGAATAGAAGAAGAGCAGAGGTAGATCTGGTGACAATATATGGATTAAAATCCCCAACGCTCAACAGGCACCCCTGGAGCTATGCGAGTATTTCCTGACCTGTCATTGTGTTGTAGGCAAAGCGGGTTTTCGAGCATGTTGGTTCGACAAAAGACGTGCGACCGTACAGTAGAAACGGTCGCAGGTCTTCGTTCACACTGCACGATTCTCGTACGATCGCGGGATTTCGCCCGATTCTCGTACGAGAATCGAGCAGTGTATGGGCACCTTAAGGGGAAATGGAATGTGTCTGGGTCTCTGGATAATTTACTGTTTTTCTATTAAGAACATGGCCACTGGAGGTGCAGCATCACATCACCCAGGGTTCACAGAGAACAGCGCCAACATCGCTACATAGACAAATAAAAATACTCTAAAGAAAAAACCATGACAGTTTGCACAAACAATTAAAAATGTATTACCTCTTTTTGACTACATGTTTTTGGCCAAAATTTCATCAGTCCTCTAATAACCTTAAAAAAAAAAAAAAATGAAGAAATTATTATTTAAAGCAAAAATAGGATTATTTTGTACTCAGAACCTTTGTACTAAAATGTTCACTAAGGAACATAGCAACATAGATTCATGTACATATGGGTATATTGCCACCTACACATGTACATGAATCTGTGCTGCCATGTCCCTCAGTGAACATAGAGAAAGGTGTATACAGGAATGCAGAAAAGTCAGGATTACTTACTGGTTCTGTGAGGGATGGGTCTTTTTCCAGGAACTGTACTATGCAGTATGCCAGCTACAAAAATAGGAAAAGGGAAATACTTTATGAATATTTTTTTTAAATGACGGGCAATAAGAGCAATCAGTGCACCCAATAACATACATCTATACACAAAAATTGAACAATGTATTCCTAGGGAAAAAATTACACTTGCCAAATCTTGTTTCTTCTTTCATGACATATCTGTTGATCATGCAAGCCCTTGTGTCTTTCTCCAGGATATGTGACAATACTGCAGGGCCAACAGAGGTATTAACTGCAGTGTTGTCACCCTTGGCAGCCGCACAAGGCTGTGATGTTAGGTAGTCCTATCACTGCTAAAAACACTTGCCAATCAGAACTGTATAGGTTATCCAAGAGGGTGCCCTGCATCTGCAGGATGTGAAGTGGGGAATCATCTTTGTTCCCTAAGAACCCCTCAAAATGTTTGTTTCACAGGGCAAGGAACAGGATCTCTTATCCCATCAGAGAGGAAAAAAAACTTGCTTTTCCATGGGGATGGGGTGGAGGATTACATTACATCTTTAGGGAAGACATTAAGTTAAAGATGGTAAACATCTAGCTATGCAAAAAGGGTTCATAGATCCTAAATCAGATTTCTCAATAAGCACCTACACCCACATTTCACAGAGATCACTGGGAGCGTACTTCCTAAAACATGAATGTGTTCTGTAACTTCCTTTTTCTGCATAGAGATAGTGATCTACACCAATTTCTGAAGGACACTGACATTTGAAACAGATATGTGCTCTCTTTAGGTATATCAATGCAATCTATGCACCGGCCTTTTATTTTCTCATTTACATAAACCAAAATGGGGATCATTTAAAGCAAAACTGAACTCAGGAGTTATTAAAAATGCATTCAAGTACTTTATTTTAAAAAAATGTATCATATTTGTGTGTGTTGTAAAGTAACCACCGCTCCAAACTCACTCCTGTTCTGCACTACAATAGTTTACTAGAGAGATTGTAGCCCATCACAGGAGTGAGCTTGGAGCGGTGGCTACTTTACAACACACACTGGGACCATGAGGAACAAAAGTAGCCCCCCTCCAGAAGGAAGGACAGTGTCCGAACCAATTCAGAGATGATTTGAGGATCTACAGCCGAGTGATACACAAATAAGATACATTTTTAATCAACAGTTAGGCTAGGTTTACACCTGCACTACACTGCACGACACCTGGGACGCGCGTCCCAGGTGTCGTGTGGTCCTGCACAATGCAGGCAGTGATTGCCGCACGGCCCCATTGATTTCAATGGGGTGACATCCGTGCGGAAATCGCAGGAAAAAAAAAAAGGTACAAGTACCCTTTTTTTTTCAATACACGAGTGGCTTTTTTTAATCATGTTCGGAATCACGGCGGGAAACCGCGCGATCCGCCCGGCGCGGCTGGGGTGCCATTAGAAAATAATGGCACCCACAGCGTGTTTGGTTCACACCATGGCGACTCCTGACCGCGCGGCAATCCGTGCACAATTGCCACGCGGTGAGGTGTCGCCTAGGTGTGAACCTAGCCTTATGCTACTTGAACACGTTTTTAAGGATTTAATCACTTTAGATTAATTTATGAATCACTTTAAATATCACACATTAAAGCCGTGAACTTTTAGTTTCATTCACTTGATACATTCTAGATTCATAAAACCAAATAGTGTACAAGGTATTACAGTTCATTTTCTTTAGAAAGCAGCCACAGGCCCAGTAGAAAAGTCCGCCCCCTGCCAGCATGCTATGGAGAAGGATCCTTGCTCTCCAGGGAGGCAGTAGTATCTCTGCAGAAGTTCGACACAACCCTTGCCACGTCAGAGCTAAAACTCTCCAATCAGCAGAAAGCATTTGCTCTACTGATTGCAGAGCTATAGGAGTGTGTCAAACCTGTCAACAGTCCACTGCTTCCAGAGATGAAAGGTCCTTCTCCTGCAGCATACGGGCAGAGACCAGGTTTTCTACTCTGGCTGTGGCTGCTCGTTAAAGAGAATGAACTATGAGCCCTATTTTCATACACCTGGAATATATTCAGTAGATTTACCTGGAAGTTCAGTTGTGCTTTAACACGTGCATTCGAGTGTGAATGAGCCTTAACTGGCTCTCCAGCTGTAACTAATATATTCTTTTGCGTCGCTGGGAAAACCTAGTCCAGACCAAGATAACATTTCCTTTGTGGGCAGCTAAGCAAACAATACCATATTGGAACAGACAGGGAAGACAGCTAAGCAGCAGAACACCTTCACAGTTCAACAGATGCAATAAAGAAGTTTACCTGTGCGTGGAAGAGCGATAAGCTCCTGACAGTGTGTAGGGGAATCAGTACTTTCACAAGGAACTGTTTATGCTCTGCTTTCAAAGGTAATGCAAAGCCATTGATAATACTGCAAGAGAAAAGAAAACCGTAAGAATCAAGCTATAGCTATTTATATAATACACGCATAACAAAAAAAAAATGGTCTTCACAATACTGAACTGATCAGTCCAAAAGAAGGGCTAAAGGAGAATACTAGGGATGCACCGATATATCGGCCGCCGAAACATGTCGTCCGAAAGTGCCATTTTCCTGGCGATACATCGGCGCATCCCAGGTTTCTTTCCTCCCCGCTGCTCTGTGTCCCAGCGGAGAGGAGAGAAAGTGACAGCCAGCCGAGCGCTGCGGTAGGAGAACGCTGTGAGCGGCCAGTGTCTCTCCTCCCACACCGCTCAGCCACCTATCACAGTACGGCAGAGCGTTGTGGTGGGCGGAGACAGCCCGCACTGTCATAGGGGGCTGGGCTCTCCTGCTCCACTCGCTCAGCCTCCTGTGACAGAGGAGAGCAAGAGCAAACACTCAGCGATCAGTGATCGCAGAGTGTTTGTAGATAATTGAGGACATGATATGTTAACTATATCCTCAATTATGAATGAATGGGAGTGATCTACATCACCTCATGTTCATTCATAGTTGTAGTTATAGTAAACATACTCTGTCCTCATGTTATGAATGAACAGGAAAACTCAGAGGATTCCTGTTCATTGATAAAAAGGAATACAGAAAAAGAGATTGAGGACTCTGTGTGCTCAATCTCTTTTTCTATTTTAAAAAGGGAAATATCAGGGGTCTGTTTTGACCCCTAAAATTTCCCTGAAGACCGTAAAAGTAAAAAATAAAAATAAAATATTTGAAAAATGTGAAAAAATTAAAATAAAAAATTTTTCGGTTTCGGCCCGACAACTTTTTTTATTTCGGTTTTGTTTCGGTTTTAAAATTTCTATTTCCGTGCACCTCTAGAGAATACAAACTAAAAATAAGTTGCTGGTAGACAAGACCGCCCATTTTAAATTTTGGAATAGTAAAGGTTTCTCTGTGCCATTAGGCTTAATTTACTACTTTGGTCATCCAGAAATTCATGCCATACACCGAGTGCCCAATATTGATGATCTTGTATAAGGGCTACAGGTTTACAGGATCTTTAAAAAGGGCTTCAACTCCAGGCAACAAAAATGGATGAGTCAGGGGCATCTCTGCTGATAAACCGCAAGCTCCACAACAGTCTATAAAATACCACCCCACATCGTTCACTTACCTTCCTAATATTTCCAGCAGTTCTGCTACACCATTAAAGTGTTCAGTTTCATAAACAAATCTGAAAAATAAATAAAATCACAACAATACAATCTCTGTAAATACTTTACAAAAAAAAACTTTATTGAAGTGTCACAAAATGCACAGAAGCATGCTGCATAAAAATGCATGTTGCATTTTATGGGGTGCATCAGAACGCACCTGTACGGTGTGAACAGGGCATATAGAATGTTTTTTTTCTCTTTACGTGCCCTTGCACTACACCTGTGTTGATCTATAAAGAACGCAGCAGCTCAATGGACAGGACGTGGGTTACCCCAGCTAGGATAATGTTGTGAAAACGGCTCGTTCACATCATACGCTGGCCTGCGTTAATCTGCACAAATCAAAGCAGGCTCAGTGCTGGAGCAGGCAATGGTTTTCCATGCGCCCTGTTCACACCACAACACCCTGATGAGGTGTGTTGTGCTGCTTTGTAATGCAGTGAATTAAAATGCTAAATGCATCCAAGTGAACATCTTAGACCCCATTCACACAGCGCTGATTTGAGCTGAGCGACATTGAGCTGCAATGCACATTTTGTTGTGCTACGTAGCGCTTCTTTTGGCAGTCTATCAAAGCCAATTGGGGCCAAATCGCACAAAATCCTCTGAAAAATAGGTCAAGTACGAGCGACAAGCTTGAGCTACAAGCTACAGTCGACATTAAGCGGTGACTGACCATGTTTGAGCGATTTTTGAGCGGAAATCGCGCTACAAAATCGCTCAGTGTGAATGGGTCTTCATCCACTTGATCATACTACTTCAGTGTAATTGCAATTGTACAGCTCACTTCAGTGGTAAGGCCTACAGAAGACCTACCAATGGTTCGGAGGTGATATTTCTCTAGCATGGAGTACACTATGAAGGGATTACTGAACAAACCCCACCATAAATCCATTGTCATGCTATTAGACACTTTTCTTTGTCATAGGTAATTTTTTTTTTTCTTTAAGCCTCAGACAATTTTTCTGGGGTGGGGATTTAAAGTGAACCTTTTCTTTGCTCATACTAAGCAAACACATATTCATGAACAGTATGTAGTAACCTTCTGCACATACAGGGTAATGCACAATGCACAATGCACCCAGGTGCTCAGGCCTGGTAAATGGTGGCTCAGGTAGCGAGAACTGCATTGCAGGGAGTCGGGAGTGTCATACCCAGATGCACCAGGTATTTCTTGTCATGTGGGACATCAAGGTGGAACGATCATCTTTGCTAAACTGAAACTTCATTGTAACTGAAAACGGCTAGAATCTTTCTATTTTGCGGTGTCAATGATGGGGAGATCTCCCTGTGTTTCCTAGGTGGTCACCACACATTGGAGGAAAATCACGGAAATCAGGAAAGGGACACGCGGAGCTATGAAAGAACTTTCATCTGCAGAATAGGGAAGGAGGAGAACCATAGCCAGATGTTTTACTACTGCCTACTTCCCAGACGGGTAGATTTTCCCTCCCCTTCCTTTGGGGTCACCAAGGCAGAAAAAGATATATCTATGGATTGTAATCACAGCCTGCATAAATGCCATATAAATACATAATTTCAAGAATGGGAGGGAAAAAAATAGTGCAACAGAAAGACACAACTTACCGTAGAAAAATATTGTTAATCTGTTTTCGAATAAATGCTCTAAGTCCCAGGAATTTGCCATAAATTCTGTGTAAGACTGTTTTTAAATAGTCCCTTTCACGAGGGTCTTCACTGTCAAAAAGCTCTAACAGCTGAAAAAACAAAACGGAAAGTTAGTGTTTAGTTAGTCTCCGTTCCAGATTTTTGAGCTGCAGTAAAAAAAAAAAAATCCAGATTAGAAAATGTGATTTATTACTCGATTCCAGCAACAACAAATCAAGCACGGGATCAGTATTCTAATCCAGGGCAGTGTAGCATGCAATAAATATCTCAGAGGCCAAATTCAACCAAAATTAGTATTTCACAGGCCCCTTGGTGCTGAATGTGCTTATAGATCCAACAGCCATTTTTATTAAGCCTGAGAGCTTATGAGACCCATTTTGGGCGAGTTCCCTTTTAAGTGTATTCTCACTTTCTGAAGCCAAATTAGGAGAGCACTAACTTTATATTTGCTACGTGTGGCCATTCACATAGAATAACTCAAAAATATTAAAAAATGCTGCTTGCCTTTTTACTGAAAAACTTCCTGGTCATGGATGGGCTCAGTTCACACCACCACGTTCCAGTGGTGTGCACTTAGGGTATGGCATGCAATACTGTTTTCAAACACACTGCAGTGAGATGCGCTACAACCGCATCGCACCACGGGGAGCCCATAGAATCGAATGAAATATCACTTCTCAATATAGTTCTCGTCAATAAAGTTGGAAGACAAAAAGTGCGATGTGGCTCAAATCGAGCACATCACTACTGTTTGGAGAGACACATGGTTGAGCGTAGCTGCTTGTGTGAACATACCCTGAATCTTATAAGTTGAAACATTTATGGAATGTCAAAAAGCAAGCTTTGCTAGATTGTGCTAGTCTTAAAAAAAAAACGTAGCGTGTCACTAAATACACTGGGACAAGGCACTATAAGAATCCATATCGTCAATCCAGTTAGTGAAATCCAGACCACTATGTTCTTATCATTAAAAATGCAAGTACTGAGCAGACCGGTGTAGGCGAGCAGACCTCCTGCCAAAACATGGTGCTTTATAATCTAACCTACAAAATTATGGCATAGAGGCTGCAAAGATAACAGCACACCTCCAACCTATTTATACCCTCTATCCCGATGCTTCATCAGTTGCTACTTTGAAGCCACTGCAAAATACCCAATGCCTTTAAGTACCGGAAAGCACATGGCCTCCTCCCAAGAACGCAGTGTTGAGGCACAGCTGCAATTGTCCTGTAAAATAAGCACATCAATTCTCTCCTGTGCCACTGCCTGTGCCTTGAATTTTCACTGTCTGGAAGAGCAACCAACTGCAACAGAATCTTCAGCATCCAACGATTTTGGTCTGTTGGATGCCTGTGTTTCTTCCTAGCCACTACATCACTACCCAGAAATGCCAGTTGCAAGGAGGCCATAGCTCTGCAAGAGAGCTGAAAAGCCGAGATAAAGAACAGGTGAGTGAATATTAATGCTCTTTTGCAAATTTGCTCATTTTCAACAACCTCCTGAAAAGCGTTTGAGCAGATCCAAGCATGTCCCACTTTTGTACGCTAGATGGCAGAACAGACCACAAGTTAAAAAGGTAAAAATTGAATTAGCTCGGCACTTCCTAGAAAGACAAGAGATACCATATCAGTCTCCAGGAAATATTTGTTCTACGGTACGCGACAAATGTGTCCCTGTGGCATAATGTCTGGTTACAGGTGTCCTCTACCATCAACCCTGCATGCAAACACCATCATTCAATGTCTGCCATGGTGCCTGGGACCCACTATAGTATAATGAGGTGTAAAACAAGCATCGTATTTCTTAGGGACCAAATGTTCACTGAACAATTTTTTCTTCCAGATGGGACATTCAAAAACAAAAAACATCAGACACGGGCAAACATCTAACTGCTGAACAGACAAATGACTTCATTCTGAGTGCTGCCTGGAGTAATTGTAACACCCAAAATGAGTTTCAATAAAACCTTTACGTACACTGTACGTCTCCCGTCACGAAGGGGTTAATCTTGTTGCCAACTCAATAAACCTTATTTGCTTTAAAATGCCTGAGGCATGTCCAGTATATTTCAAGTATACCTAAAACTTTATTTTTTTTAGTTTTGAAGTGGGAAAGTGTTGGAACTTTTTGGAGGGTTGGATTGAGGTCTGTGGGCTTGCAGGGGTTATTCACCCTACTTGTCCTAGTGACAGAATGTGACGAGCAATCCAAAATGTTATAAACTATCACCATAAAAGGACTAAAGGGTCAATTTTCCAATAGGAACACTTGTTCCATTGACAAATGTCTAAAATCCGGCCATACATTACATTTTCTTGTTCAGACCCACAGGAGAAAAATCAACCGATTCCCCCATCCATGCTAAAAAGATTTCCCCTGCTAGATAAGCATATTGAAAGTCAGCACCTGTGACTGACCGGCTGAAGTCCCTCCTTGGCTAACAATTTTCCGCCCAACTCTTTCAATAAAAAGTCACCAGACTAAACGTTAATTGCCGGGTGGTGCCATTAAGCAGAGCACAGCCGAAATTCGGTGAATGGCCAGCATAAGAGAGGGTATATACCCTTGATTTGAAAATATTTTCTCTTTCTTCCCCTATGTCTCTAGTAGGGGTGCACCAATACTGATACTAGTATCGGTGCCTATATATCGAGTATTTGGGCGAGTAATGGTTCTCACCCAAATGCTCAGATACCTTCCCCGATACCAGAACTTCGAGTAAGAGGAAGATGTCCTCTGACCAGCAGTGCTGTAGGGGAACATGGAGCCAGTTTCCCGTGTGACCAGGAAGCTGGGCAGCGAGTAATGACCCACCTCCCAGCTTGGCCGGGGAAACCAGCTTCCTGGCCAATCAGCGCGCTCCTTGCTGATTGGCTTTGGAAAGCTGGCTTCCTGGCCAAACATGGAGTCAGCTTCTCGAGCAATCAGATTGGCCCGGAAGCCGGCTCCATGCCAGCGGAAGCACCGGCATCGGTTGCGCCAAATACCGAAAGCAAAATATTGGTCCTCGGTACCGGAAAAACGGTATCGGTGCATCCCTATTGTCTAGGACAGGGAGTGGAACAAAATTTCACCAATAGGACAGAAACCTACAGGGCTCTTAACCATCCCAGATTCAAAACAAGCAGCAGGCAAGTCTTTCCATTCACTGAAAAGGCTTGAAAAAGATAGTACCTGCTACACTTTGCAGAGCAGGGCTTGAAAAATTCAGCCAGGTAACTAATGGTCTTAAAAGTTACAGCAGAAACCTAACTTTTGAGGTTCTCAAGTTGCTGTCAATGGAGCTGGCTTCTAAAAAAAAATCCTGGTGGCTCCTGGATTGGTCAGACTAGCTCCTGAATTCCATATTATGTTGTCCACCCTTGTTGTAGGAGCATAGGGTTCCTGGCTGCAAGGATTAAGGCAGCTATGGTGGTTCCACAGAGATGGAAACAAACGATTGACCTAAGGTCTGATTGACTGTAGAAGTACAATGAGACTCTCCAGCATGTGACCAACTTTAGTCACACCAGAAGACATAGCCACAAACAATTAGTCTGCATATAACCGACTAGCACTTCTGGACTCTGTTTGTACAACCCAGCCTAAACAGTGTGAGAATAAAGCACGTGTACCAAAAACAAATGTTTTCAGCAGGTTGTATCCGAATGATGTAATAGTGAAGAATATTTCAAGGAGAAAACCTGTTCTCTCAAACAATACTTGATGACAGACCAAAAGAAACCCAACAACCCACCAGTCTGAAGGCTATTTTTAAGATGTCGGCTGAAGAGTTTACATAATTTACATACTTATTACAGCTTGCCAAGTAAAAACTGGATACAAAAGTGAGTGCTAGTTACTCTATAATCTCTAGAACACTAGACGAGATTCTTACAATGTTTGTCTCTTAGCAACAAATGTCTCATGCTGGATCTCCAACTAACTCGACTATCTTGGCAGGAGGAAGCCCATTTAACCTGCTTAATATTAGGAGATCTCCATCTACCACTTGACACTGAACACACTTGGGAGACAGAAAAACACTTATTAGAACCATGTTTAGAGAAGAAGTTCTAAGAGATCTGGCTTTCTGGTCTACAGACATCAAAGTGTCTACAAAGCTACATATCCAGAGCAGGCTGGAAAGGAGTACAAAGATTGTCTTTGATAATTACAAAGCAAAAAAATCCCATAAAAAGTAGAACAGGTACAATGCATCAGTGAACAGCAATAACTGGCTCAAGGGGAAGCTACAGTCTTTTTACAATTTGTTTTTAGGATATGCATTCATTTTATCAGTTTACGGTCAACATTTTTATCAATGGTTGAACATTGTGCATAGTTTGCAATGATAGATCTACAAACGGTGGAAGCCATTTTTACTCATTATACATGGAGTCTCTGCTTTCAGCTCAGAAGCGCTGCACAGCGACTGTGCCCTTCATTGCTCCTCTAGGTCGACTAAAGTTTATTTGTAGTCTGACTGAAAACAAGGCTTTCTATAAAAAGGCAAAGCCTAGTTAATGACGCTCAGTTTTTTCTCTCTTAAAGTCCTATAACCTTAACTACAGATGTGACGAATATTTTTTTTTTTTTTCCTAGGAAATGCCATGAAATATCGGTTTCCAGTTCTCCCCCTCCAGTGCTCTATGTTGGCAGGGCTAAGCAACAGCTACACCCCTCAGTACAAGTGTCTTCACAGGTTTATATTGCAGGGAAAGAAGTATGGTGAAACAGGTCTGTTACATTTCATAGAGCCTATAGAACATTAAGGTGCCCATACACTGGCCAAATTTCGTCCGGTTTTTATTGTAACAGCCAAAATTTGCACAGTGTGTGGGGCTGTCGCCTCCCTTTCAGCCAGCATTCCTCAATCAGCTGATTGAAGAAGTCTGCTGGAAAATCTTCACACGATCAGAGCTGGCAGCCAATGAGCTGGCCGCCTTGATTAGGTATTCTGACAGGTGGTACCTGTCACACTACAATGTGCGTGATAAATCGCTCAGTGTGAATGGGGCCTAAGGGTCAGTGTCCACAGGATTTTGTTAGCTTCACAACTGCTTCTCTCCCAATGCAAGTCTGTAGGAATGCAAAAGTAGCCAAAGCAGGTCAAATGCAACCGTAACAAAATCTCAATCATCTCAGAAGTATCTTAAATCGGATGTCAAAAAGCACATTGTTGCTACAAGCGACACAAGATATATTCTGCTTCTGCTCATTGATTATCAATTGTACTTTTTTTTTTTTTTTGTAATTTGGTTATTGTTGTCATATATTTGACTATGTTAGATGTCGGCTGGTCATTTTTGCCAGATCATTGCAACAATTTTAACAAGGTCTAGAAATTCTGGTCGTCCTGTTGCCGATACCTTGAGCCTCCTGTATTTGGGTATTGTATACCTCCTTTTTCTATTGATGTCACCTTTTGATTTATGTGCTGTTCTATCGGAGGCAGTGGAATACACACCTTGCACTTGGATAGTGTTCTCTTTGGGTTACACTGTTACCAATATTCTAGCTGCATTTGGGGGGGGATTGAGCGGGCTCACTGTTTCTTGATCCTGTTTTAATGGGTTTTTAGGTTCTATATTTGCCTAATTTTGTGTTGTATTTTGTGTTTTTTCTTTAGGGCCAGGGGTATGCCCAGTACAGCCATGTTTTATATGCTTATACCAAAATTGAAATCAAGAGAATTTGACACAAAGGGGACATTAAAATACAAAACAAAAAAAGTATACAGGTGAATCCCGAATAATTAGAATATCGTGCAAAAGTAATTGCAGTAAGTGCAAAAGGGGCCCAAACCAAGTACTGAGTACATATGCATGCTTGTATTTTTCAGAGGTCCGATATTGTTCTATGTACAATCCTTGTTTTATTGATTGCATGTAATAATCTACTTTTTTGAGGTTGTGGATTTGGGGTTCTTGGGGTTTTCATGAGCTGTAAGCCATAATCATCACAATTATGACAAATCACGGCTTGAATTATCTTGCTTTGCATGTAATTAGTCTATCTCATATATTAGTTTCATCTTTTAAGTTGCATTAGTGAAATAAATGAACTTTGCACGATATTCTAATTATTCGAGTGTCACCTGTAATTCCCCTACCACAGGGTATACTTCTAGGGAAAACCTGCTCAAGCAATATGCCATGTGAAGGGGGTGAGAATTAGGGTTTTCTTGATCTTAAATAATATGCATTTAATAAAAGTATACATATTAAGGATCCACACAATTCCATACTCGTGAAATGCAGGCCTATTTGCATAATTACAGCTTTGCTTAGTTAAATCTTTATACATTGCAACAATTACTGTAGCACGCTACAAGACAAGCCAATTCAGATGTCAAAACAGTCTGTGGCTGATTTATGACAGATGGTTATTTCATTTGATCCAGGGAGGCTGTGTTCACTTCAAAACACCCAAGCAAAGAACTTTTTTTTTAAAACCAATTCCCTTGCACATGATTGGTGGGCTAAGTGAAACATTTACCCCTTTAGAAAGACACCCTAAGAGCCTCAGTACTAAAGAAAGTCCAGAGTACAAGTTTAGAAAACAATTAATCACATTCACATCTCTTACAGCAAAGAACTTACCTGTAATACAAATTTTTGATCTATATACTTTTTGGCAACACTCGGCTGAAATTCTTGGCTTTCCAAAAATCTTATGAAAAATTCATATACAAGCTGAAAGGAAAGAGAAAAAACAGTGAATCACCTTGTATGTGTTTATTGCATATGTTTACCCGGCTGACTACTACTACTCTACAACTAGGGCAGGATTACAGAGAAAGGAATTTAACAGAACAGTGGCAGTACAAATAACCCAAACAACGCTAACAATTTAGCACACTGCTTCATCAACAATCTCCTTACAGCTTTAGGTCTCCAACAGTTCTTTACAGAGCTCAATGTTTTCTAAAGACTGCAGAGACATTACAAGTAATGCGCGCAAGATGCCTGAACAAACACTTGGATCTAATTGGCTCTTCCATGGGCAAGCAGTGATGAGAACCCAAACAAATCCAACCACATGCTGCCATAAGAAACTTCTCACATGAAGCTTGAATGCTGTTGACCGGTTCTTAAAGTGTAGCCCCATTATGAAGGGTGTTATTTAATCTGGGTTACCGCTCCTAGCATTGAAAATTCACCCCGAGCCAGACTCGGGATTACCGCCAGGGAGGTTAAAGAGGAACTTTACCCTTCTACTTAAAATAACAAAACACACCTTTAGAAATGTTTAGTAATGATAATCTACAAACAGATAATTGCTGGTGTTTGATCGAAAGCTCCAACTCGTCAAAATCTCCAACTACCTCACTGCCGGGTACTTGCAAGTTGGAGATTTTGACCAGATGGCATTAGACTGCAAAACACAAAGACTGACAGAGCTCTGTACAGTTGCATTTTAACAATATTTAGCAGGTGGCAAACTCCGAGTATTCTGAAAACGCTATGTCCGCATGCACACCGCAACTGTACAGAGCTTGTGTCTTTCCAAACACCAGAAGTGAGGTAGTTGGAGATTTCGATGAGTTGGAGCTTTCAATAGAACACTGGCTTTTTATTCTTTGCATACCTTACTTCTTTCTCAGACTTCTGACAGTGGCCATTTTTACTAATGGCGGATCACGAGACATCCCTTTACTTCCTGGAACTCTGGCACATGCAACAAGGATGTGACCATGCACATTATCTCAGGGGAGGAAAATGCCTTTCCCTGAGATTACAGATGAGATTTGTCAGCAATGGTCTGCTGATGTAACCTTTCCAGGATGCAACGCTTTGGCTCATTATTGTGCCAGAACTGGAACAGGAAGTAGATACACTAGGTTTGTTTAATGAATGTAAGATGATTTCAGATCGGCATGCAGAGTTGTATGCCGATGTGATTTTTAGTGAAAGGGGGTAAAGGTCCATTTTAAAACCCAACTCTGTATAGTTAAAAGAAATTCCTAAGGGCATTTCAAATCGATTTTTAGAAGCCTTGATGTGTGCAATGTCTACGCACATGCAGGTTTGGGTGTGGCTACCCATATGGGCAGTGATGGTGTGGAGTTGACATAGCTGCAGATACTGGCTATGAAACGCAGGCTGCTTGTGGGCACAGGAGTGTGTGATCTGTCACATGGAGCGGGGTAGCTTGCTAAATGGCAACTACATCTTCATACATGCATTAGTAATGGAACATGTTGATGGGCATGAAAGGGTGTAGGGTGGTGAGTGGCCAGTTTGCATTGCTTTTACAGCACTTCTGAAATGTATGGAACAGGAACAATGATGCGTCCAGCTATATACCCATCTTTGTGCCACTCCGTTGAAGGGAGTTTAATTCAACCTTCTGTTAAGCACTCAGCAAACTGTATGAGATGCAATGTTTAGACTTAAGTTAAAGTCCATACAAGGAGCTTTATGTGGCAAAAGGCTGTTACTGGGAGTGATGACGTCTGCTCTATTTTTACCTTACACTTATATACTAAATAAACTTGACAATCCTCTATCAATGCACTGCATACATGCTGCCTATTTAAACAGTATTTGGCCAGTTAAGCAAAGACCTTTGGGGCAAGTGAACACCCTGTACACTGCATAAGCAGTAATTTTCTCTTGGTGGCCAGTAGGTATTCTGTGCCTTTGTGCTGAGCCTTTAGTGGCAGGGCTGCTCATTCCATACATAGCAAAAAGGGCTCAGAGAGGGAAACAAACAAGGCCAGACTTCAGACTCATTCTTTTTGCAACATTGCTTTCACATGTTATCACTGTCAAATGACAGTGATCAGCATCTGGAATGAGTATGCTATGCTTGCAGAACCTTTAGAGTGCCCATTAAAAAAATAAAATAAAGAAAAGGTGAAACCAGAGGGAAAAGTTTAAAAATTGCAAGGTGTAAAATGCTTAATAAGTGTATATTAAATATAACTCCAAATAAAAAAGGTCAAATGCATGAGGTGTAAGGTCACTCAAAGACAAAGTGCACTGTTTTTTGCCCACCTTCATTAATATGCTCCCACTTGGAGACTCATACTAATATAGTTAGGACCACACTTTACAGAGGTGCCTTGACGGTGGCAGTGTGGCTTCTACATATTTTTGGCCAAAGGTTTGTGCAACTAAAACCTCTGCTTTTAACGCATACTGGCTAGCAGGCAGGTGTGCTGGGGACCCTTTTGTGTTTTGTATTGTTGTAAGACTTCCCATGTGCACCTTGCTACATAGGCTGGTTATAAATTTTATGCGGTTACCATCTTTTTCCAGTTTTTTGTCCCCTCCCCTGACCCAAATAATCCCACCCCTGCCCTACTCAAATCTATACCCAAGATCAGAGGGTCACTGCTGCACTGTTTTTTGACATCTAGGGCTGCAAGTTTCTCTCTCCAGGCCACGTCCATCTCTCAAGCAGGGAGACGGCCCCATAGACATCTATGGGGCTGTAATGTGCGGGTGCGGCCAGCAGAGGGAGCATATTAGTGCTAGATGCAATCAATAGCAGAGGCATGCTAGTCAGATCTTGGCAAGTATAGATCTGTGGTGGGGGAGGGTGGGTATGTTTAGGCCAGGGGAGGGGAGAATAAATGCACTTTAAAGAATGAGTACACTTTCAAAGTCACAGGAACAGGAAGCTTACAGATCAGCAGTCAACAACTGTCACACTAAAGATCCCCATTTATAACAGAAAGCGGATATTGCTGTCCGCACATTACCGCAAGGTTAGTCCTTGTTACAGCCTGCATTCTACAACCCATTCATAAAATACAGGCCACACTATGCGGTCTCTATGTGGTTATGTCTTGTAACCAAGCCCTCCACCCAGCTTTTTCAATCCCTTTCTCATTTGTTTCAATAGTGAGTGCACATCACTGTGGCATGACCATACTGATGCCCTGAATGGACATATAACATAGGCAATGAAGAGTAGCTAAACAAGATTTGCATTCTGGTGCTAGAGAGCAAAACATATTAGCCTGCAGATGTCTGCTAAGTAACCATTCATGGATTATGCAAGTGTTCAATACCTGTAAATGTGGCCATGATGCCTCAAGAGTGGGTTCATCTTCCTCAGGATCAAACTCATTGCTGTCACTCGGAGGAAGGGTCCTAAATATATTGCAGGATACCTTGAAACAAAAACAAAAATGAAATTAGTTTTCCAAATAAGGAGAAACAATTGTGTATTTTCTCTGAGCACATCATTTTGGGTTTACAGTCCAAAGTTTACTAGGAATTAATTTTAGTCACCATTTTCACTTCAACACCTGACCTGTTAAATTTTTATCATGGTGCAGGCACAACCCCTGGTGGCCACATGATCTTTCAGTATTGTCACCAAATGACCAAAACCACCTAAAGGTGGATATTACAACCAATACATGAACACATATCTACTTACATAAGCACTGGTGACCCTCAGTTGGAGGTTTTCAAGCTCTCTTTTGTGGGTTAATCATTGTGTGTCTTTTCACAAAGCCTTTAACTTGTAAATATTAGTCTGCTCAAAACTTGCAAAATCACCACAGAAATCTTGAAAGCGAGAACTGAATAAATCACTTCTAAACAATATTCCCACAGTAGAGAGAAAGGGTGTTTTATAGCATTAAGCAAAGCTTTAAAAAGGAGAACTATGAGGTGAGGGCTTTTCACTCACCTCATAGTTCTAGCCGACTATGACAATGAGACTGTCACAGGTCGGCTCAGTAGATCGGGAGGTGAGCGAACACATACCGGCATTCGCTCACCTCTCGATCCTGTCACGGCTGTCATGACAGGGGAGGGGCTGGATTCCCCCCTCCCTGCTCCGATCCGTCCGCGCTGACTGGCGGAATGGACGGGGGAGGGGGGCGGGTACAGCTGGCCCTGCCTTTAGATAGGCAGAGCCAGCTGTCAGTCACGCAGCTGGGCGGATCCCGACATAATTGTCGGGAACCGCTTCAGCTGCGGCGTCTTAGTATACCACGAGCAGCAGCCCGCGGTATACTGAGCCTAGGGTGACGGGAGGACGCTAGTTTGTGTCCTCCCGTTACCCTAAGCAGAACTATGGGGAAAAGCCTTAACCCCATAGTTCTCCTTTAATTTTGCAAAAAAAGATCTTTGTAAATGAATGCTGTATATAATGCTCCAAGCCAATGGCTGTGTGGATGGTGTCTTTGTTTTGTGAAGAAAGACACACATACTACTGGAAATGTTTAAATTCCACATCTAGCACCACCTGATGGTAAAGCCCGGTATCGTAGAGTGACCATCACAAGGGCTTTAACAACTTTTTGGACTCAAAACTAGGAGCCCGGATAAATCAATCAAATCTAGGGAAATAGGACAACAATGAAGAGGGATTTTTGGCCCCCAAAACGCAGTGGCTGCCCTTCATTATGCTTTTGACATCTTTGGAATAAAATACACGTGTTTGCCACACTTTCTGCTTAGACTACACCTAGACTTCACAAGCCATGTGACTCGGGATAAAAGCTTGCTCACAAAGCTAAATAGCTTAAGCTGCAGTTTATACATACACGCGCGCGCACAACAACCGTGACTCTTCCTTTATTGGACAACTCTGTTACAGGCTTCAGTGAGAGACCGCCTGTATGACCGAAAAACTTGTGCTGTGCTCACTTTAGATTACCCATAGCTCTCTGGGAATCCTTTGCCATGTAATAAACCAGAACTTGAATCTGCCGAGAGGGGAGGGCTCTCTGAACAGAATACTTGCATATTATGGCTATACTATTTTTCCTTCTCCCAGCACCATCAGGTCCAGCTGCTTCTTCCAGAGATTACTTTACTCCTCTTCATTAATTGATGATCCAACGACTGCACATGCACACAGAAGAAACAGGGTCGTCAACACCCGCCTTCATTGTCGGCATCTAATGCTGAAAATGAGCTGGAATTTTACACTACACTGCACATTTGTGGCAGGCAATAAACACACAGATAGCTAGAAGGGGTTCTTTACATGTCTCTACTGCCAAAATGCTCCATCTCCTAGCATTTCTGTGGTCTTTAGTTCTGCTATATTTGTGTATAGATCTATATTGCTATTTATATATTCCACATGCATGCACACAGTTCAAAACTGGTGTAGGAATATAGAGAATTCTGACAGATAGCTATAAATATAAACGCAAAAGGTAAAACAGATCACTTTGCATGCATACCCATAAAGAGGTATCTCTAAAAGTGACAGGAAAGAGGTTCCAAAGTAAGACAAAAATCTTAGCAGGCAATTCTTATCACAAGGGCAGGAGATATGTATACATCGGAAGCCAGAGTTTAATTGTACACATATGGCTCTTTCCCTTCAAAGTACAGGATGATAATCTCATCAAGAGTTTAAAGGAAAGGGAAACAGGGCTTAGTGTGTTAACATAACCAATACTCTTTGCTGCCACAGAAGAAAGGCCTTTGGCTTTGTGGCAAGTGTCCCCAATACTATAACAAAACACTACCAGCACTTTAAGCCTTTTAGCGTCATCGTGGTTAGTTGAATGGAACATTACTTCTAGAGCACCAGTTCAGTTTGACTTATGTCCCCGGCCTTCTCCCCATTATAGCTTTGAATACAGCGGGGAAACAAACAAACTCTGTTTTCTAATTCTGTGTTCCCACTGGGGATATTTCATTCAGAGCTGGATTGTCCACAAGGCAACCTAGGTAGAAAAATAGGCCCCAGTCGATGTATGTATGTATGCATGCATCCATGTATTTATGTATGCATGCACAACCGTCGCACCCTTGCAGTAAACCAGGGGAATGACAAATTGTCAAAATTGTGCACCTGCCTGTCACTTTGCAAGGATACACTTGTGGGTCGGTTGTTGTTTAAGGCCTCATTTCACACCTACCAAGAAGGTGCGATTTGGAATTCCTGCAGCAGGAATTCCAAATCTTCAGTTTACAAGCTGCAGCTGACACCCGTTCAAGTTAACAATCGGGTGAAAGCAGCTGCATTTGAAAAGCAACATAATGCTAACACACAACATGTAATCATATGCGACACTATTACATACAGTTAAAAAAATCAAACACTATCCCTGGATGCACGATTGATTGATTTTGGAAGCTCCTGCTGAAGGAATTCCAAATAGCATCTACGTGGTAGGTGTGAATGAGTGCTATTGGCATTGGTAGGGACTTGGATAGTGCCTTCTACCTTGTCTCTTCTGCAACTAACCATTTCAGATTTCACTTCCTGTACTGGTGATTATACAGAAAAGTGGAACTCTCCTCAGTAAGGACACAGGCAGCAGTAACATAACAGAGGTTCGGGTTTTCACATTTTTGCTAACACATGATTTATTTATTTTGGCTAGATGTACTTTGTTTTTTATATTTTTTTTAACTTTCACAGTATTTTATTACATTTTTTAAAATAGAATAAAACAATAAGATAGCACATGATGCACAGACAGTATAACATACAATTGCGCCTTCCACATTAGCATATTCAGGTAGTAAGAGGGGATCACTGGAAACCATACACACAATGCATAATAATTCTGTGAAACAGAACATATCTATCCACCTACTCTTGCCCAATTATCCCCCATCAACAAAAACAAAACAGTCTGAGAGGAATATCAGGCATAGGGATCCACCCATGTCTGAAGCAAACATTTGGTATGGCCTCCTCCATATTTATATACATAGAAGACTTTCTGTCCAACATCAATACGGGTTTCTAGCCTGCTCGCCTGATAGCTGCGGAACGGGCCTTAGTCTTGCCATGGTTGTAAAGTAATTTTAAAAATGTACGATCTGCCCATCTTGGACAGGCAGATCGTGCTTGCGATCTGCCTGTCAGAGTTGAGTCTGAGTGACACACACACACACACACACTTTCAAGGGTGCGATGTCTGGGACATGCAGTTCCGGGGTAAATGTAGAGCAGGGAAGCAGCAATTCATTTAGTACAAGTGATCCCAGGTCACTTGTATAAAATGAGCAGCCATCTTGTCCGCAAGGCCCCTGCGGGGTTTTCTGGGTACCCCGTCCTGGGAGCCCGAGGACCACGGCAATCATTTCAGGATTGAGAAAGGGGAGCAGAGTGGAGAACGCGCGCTCCTCTGCTCTCTGTGATCAGTGAGACGGGAGCCCTGTACTCACAGCACCCCCTATCTCACCTGTCACAGAATCGAGCACAATGCAGTTGCTCGATGTTCTGTGTTGGAGGACTGTCGCCTCCAAACACTACCACATAGGAGCTTGTTAACTTTATTACGATCACACATGAGCTAAGTGAAAAAATATTATTTAAAAAAAAAAAAAAAGAAATAAAATATCTTTATATCTTGTAGGACCTCTGCTCTCAGAAATGCAGTTTGGGGTTCTAGAAAGCTAACCTATAATTAGCAAGCGTCATTGTTGACTACCTTCTAAAAATGCTAGTTGACTGGCGGTAATGCTCATTCTCCACCTTTAATACTTTGAGTCACTAACAAAATAAAGAGTGCAGCAAGTGAAGTCGGAACACCTGACCACTATACTGTATCAAGCCAGTGGTTGAGAAAGTAAAGTCAACCTCTACTTTGCCCATGTAGTTCTAAGCAACAGCTTTAATTAAGCCCTCCTCAGCAGCACATTTACCTTTCTTTCACTCACCTGCTGCTCCTTTAGCCATCAGAAGTTGATGCAAGTCCAATGTAAGCCAATAGTCATTGGCACTATAGCCTACACAGGATATTGGTGCCCAGACTGACAGCAATGCTTGGCCCATGGGATGAGTCACGTGTTCCTTCCTACTCAATAAGTATCAGGTGCTTTCTTTTGTTTCCAGCGCTGAATGGAGAGGCAGGGGGAGCTGGAGGTGCTACTGGGGATGGTGTAAGTTCAAGAAAACCTGTTTTCCCCGCAATAAAGCACAGGATTTCTTTCATGCACACAATGCAATTCTTTCTTGCATGAACGCAATAAAAATAGCTGTTTCGAAAGGAGATAAGCAACATCCTACCTTTCCCTCATAGCAAACTGCAACATTTCTAATCTGTATGGTATTGGCTCTGTGTGCATTAAGAGAAATTAGTCGCCAAATATTTAAAATATAAAAAAGCATGTTGAACACAGCAGTGAAAGAGTTAACATGCTACTTAGTAAAGCAAGTCCAATTACAGCAAATGCAATGAAAACAATCCTGCTTTTAAAGCAATCAGTGATGCTAAAACTTAAAGCCTTGCATAAACAAGTGCCATTTTTAAATCAAAAAGAAATATTGCCCATTCACAGTCATCAAAGACCACCTCAGACAATATTCATTGGATGTATAGGCCAGCAATGCACTTTAAGGTTAGAGAGTCCATCCATTAGTCCATCCATAAGTACTTCAGCCATAGTTGGAACTGGGTGAGCCAAGTAAGCCCCGTGGCTTCTTACAAGTCTTGGACACTTTAACAGCGAGATCATCCTTTCAAAATTCCCTCTCTCCATCAACCCCTGTTGCATTCTCCATAATTGAAAATAAAAATCCAGCAAATAGATCAGAAACGCATCGCTCCAAACCCAGACTCAGTGTAGAGTTCGCACCAACAGAGTCCCTGATTCTTTGAGAGTTATCGGCTTCCATAGTGAGTGCCAGTATGGAAGATACAACAGTAGAAGGCTGCAAAGCAATCCATTTCATTTGTTCAGTGCCAAACGAGTTGCCACCGGCCCAGTCCTCAGAGATGGCTATCACCGTGGATGGCCAAAAGCATATGCCACCAGCTGATGAGAAGAAGCTATGGACATACCCAATCTGTATCATGTATGCCCCCTTTAGGGCTTGTTCACACTATGTGCAGATCATGTCCAGACCAGAACAGTTTGTTATCTCCCCTCCTCCCGCAGCGTTCGGCCGCCTGTCACAGTTTCTCTCCTCCCCACTGGGACATAGAGAAGTGCCCAGCAGGGAGGATAGAAATCACGGATGCAACGCTATTTCAGCCAGAAAATGGCATTTTGCCAAAAAAGCCATTTTCGGCCGATATATCGGAGCATCCCTAATGTTTTTTTTTTTCATGTGATGTGGTGCATTGGCAGCCCATCCATACTGAAGTGTGAACGTGACCTAACCCCGTCTCAAAAAAGCCTCTTTAACCCCTACGTCACCTTTAACATCAGTGGCAAGGCATTTCTTGGTACATGTGCATCTTTAAACTTCTTGGCTGCAGTGTTTGTACATCGGGCACATAATTTACTAAAATCCAAACAGCAGAATAAACTACATCTACAATTATGAGACAGGCGCATTAAACAAAGTGCTGATGACTTAAGGTGGATGTCTTAACTCCGCTATGGATATAAATAGCACCAGGATATACTTTTGTAAACGGCTAGTAATCAAGAAGGCTCCCACAGGTCATAAAAGCAGCGACCGCAAGGTGGCTTAGGTTAAATAAACCTAACGGTGGCCCTTATATATCGATCACTTGAATGGTTAACATCTATGCAAGCTATCATGTGGTTTTAATGTCAAACATCAATTGTGTTGGCATACAGGAGGCCTCAGAAGCTAAGCACATCCCATGCAAGTAATTATATGAAACAAAATGAAAGCTGGCCAAGGGTTAAATAAACATTTAATTATACATGTGCTGGATTATTGGCTGCGAGAGCTGTGCAGAACAATGGTATCATGATAGGTTAATAGCCAGCTTACAAACCCTGCACCCTATGCAGAAAACCTATTACCAATCCACGTATGAAACATGGGTACCAGGTGTCGCTTCAAGCATGAATTTCCTAATGAAGACACACTGAGGAGTATTTTTGAAGAGTTTTAGAAGTGGGGACTCCTATCAAAAGTAAATTTGTACTCAACCAACCTGCCCCTTTAAACCTTTTGCTGCTAAAGTCGTTTATGCTATATTTTTTTTTTTACATACACAAATGGCAAAATGTCCATTTTAGGCCTGAAGATTACTCTAAATCAGGGGTAGCAAACCTCCGGCCCTCCAGCTGTGGTGAAACTACAAATCCCATGATGCATCTCTCTTTAGGAGTCATGTCTGTGAGAATCTTGCAATGCCTCATGGGATTTGTAGTTCCACCACAGCTGGAGGGCCGGAGGTTTTACGCCTGCTCTAAATAAACCCCCCAATATTATACATTTTCTGAAGCCGAAGATCCTGTAAAATAAAATGGTGGCAGTTAACTAAATATTTATTAAAATTACTTTTACATTATAACTTTCTGTAAAATCTTAATAAAAAATTACTTGATTTAAAAAAATTACTTTTACATTATTTTAATGCAAATAAAAAAAAAAAACAACCAATTTTTGGTCACATATAAAAGATTAGGTTGGGACGAGTAGATCGATACTATGCGTGTCAAGATTCGAAATTGTGCCCACCCGTGACATATCGAAAACTTACAGTACCCAAAATTGTCCATTGGCAACGGTTTAAAAGCTTTTACAGGTTATTAATTTAGCGTTAACCATAAAGAATACACCTAGAACTATTGCTCTCACTTCAGAGTGCGTGGACATGCCTCTTATGTGATAGCATATTGAAAGAGATATTATGAGACTATTAGATAGTTTGGGGGGGGATTGGGAGCGGGTTTTACAGCACATGGAATTGAAAGTGTTAAATGATGAGCCCTGCAAGGCCTCATGTACATGACAGGAAATAACCGTAGTGTATAATATGCCCATATGATCTCTGCTGGGAGTGATCAGTACAGCACACTGTAGTCAATGGCAGGCTGCACATGTATGTAAATATATATATATAAAAATGAGCCAGAGAGGCTACATGCGTACAGGTCCACCTGCATTCAAGGGAATGCATACAGTCTTATACTAATGTATACTTGCATGCTGCAGTCACTGCCTACCATTGCTTAGAATAGGCTGACCGACAGCGGCTGTACGCTGTATGGGTCACTCCCAGCGGAGACTATACGGCCATATTGCATGCTATACCGCCATATACTGCCATGTGCAATAACCTTAATAGCTACCGGCTCAGCACAAAACATTGACTGGGACTTGGAGATCTCTTAATAAAGCAATGGGTCCAGATGGTAACCTTGCAAGAGTTGTGAAGCTTTAAAGCGAGTAAGTTCATCCGCCAACTCTGCCTCTAGAAAGCATGAAAAGTTAAACTTCGCTGCTAGAACCAATATGGTCCTTCAACTTTTTTTTTGTTAGTGCCATTTACTTCTGAACAGAAGCAATTGTTTAAATGGTTTGCCATATCTAGGCCTTCCTCAACATAAGTGTTCTTTACGGTTTGATTTTTGCGATCACACAGTGCCTTTTCTTCCTACTCCATAAATACCTACAAAGGCTTGGTCTCTTATCTTAATGGATTTAGCCATTTCCTTCACTTTCTGTGCTTCAGCAGCACTACAGATAACACGTTTGGCATCCTTTTGTCGGTTTTATACACTTGTCGATCAGCTACACTTTCGGTTTCCTTCCATCTCCTATATGGTGATTTTATAAATAATGCTGCAAGCACACTTTTGTTCGGACCGGACCGCAGGCATGATGTGCCTTGCGTTCCCGTGCGGTCGATACGCCCCCTCCTGCCCCACAACATAGTGAGCCGGCCGCAATGCGATGCTGTGCGTTCTGGCCAGAATCGGGCCGGAACGCACTGCATCTGGTGTGACTGAGCCCTAACAAGAATATGAAAAAGGAGGCATGCAAGGCATTTGTAAAATTATGCCAATAATAAACACAACATTAACTTAAGTATGTGCGCAGAGATAATACACTATAGTTTGTTTTTTTAAGGCCTAATCAGCTGTAGCGTTACAACCTCTGTCCCCTTTTAGGGAGATTATACCCTACTTCCTATTCTGCTGACACCTGTCAACTAGACAGAAATTAAGGGGAAATCTGCTCAATGAGAACACAGCCAGAAATAACCAGAGAGTACAGTAACACTTTCTTACTCTACTGGAAAACCTTTTCCTAATTCTGAAAGCCCATTGGAGAGATTTACCATTGCTTACGTTTGATCTGACACCCTTGTACACAGAAATCTCTCAAATGGAAACAAATTAACTGCTTCCTCTAATGGCAGTTAATGTAGACACCGCTCGGCACTTTTAGAGCTCCATGTTCCCAATTTAACTGAATCGTTCTGATCAGAACCCAGGGAGCAGAATGAGTCCAGTAACAGCACAGACAATGACAGTACTCACCATTCTTACTACTTCAGGGTACGTCTGTTCTGTGAGGCAGCCTCTGCTTATCGTGATGTAGTCCACCAACTCATTCAGCGTAGAGCGCTTGTATTCTTTCATTTTAAGATCGGACAATGTATCCATAAAATCAAAAATGACACAGCACTGCTGAAGTTTCTTGAGGAACAGTTCAGGCTGCTCTGAGGTTGGGGCGTCTGGAAGAAAGAACATAAGCATTGACGTGAGAAAGGCACAAAACCACCAACTGCATGTTGCCAAAACCTGTGCTTCCTGCTTGGTAGTAAAGAACAGTACCTGTGATGTACTTTGAAGGTCTACTCAAACCAAAACTGAAAATTAAGTTTTCAGATGCTTGCTACATATTGCTGTTATGCACCAGCCCACACTCGTGTTGTCAATCTGGTGATCACAAATGGGGAAAAAAAAAACACCTGCTTCTGATATTGAAAGCACACTTAAAATATAATTAAAACTCACAACATTTACAGCGCCACCAATCAGATTCCAACCTGCTTCCTGCTGTTGCATGGCATAGGCTGCAAGAAGTCTAATCCTTCAAATTCCTTTATGGAGCCTGTTAGATGGTCTGTGAAATGTGGGCACAAGGGGATTCCAGAGGATAGGACAGCTTGATTTTGGAACAGAGTGGTGCTAATGTAATTAGTAGTGAATTAACTACTTTCACTGGCTGCCTGAATTACAGTCTGCCCAGACTGAAATAAGACAGACTATGTGACCAATCGTTCTTGGCTTCAGTCATTTAGAGTTGCTGAGCTATAGGGAATGTATAGAGATGTTGTACATTTTCTTTATCATGGTCATATTAAAAAATGCTATTCCCATTTGAGACAGCAGGTGGTGCTTTAAGATTTCAGGTTTATCTCTTTGCTCCCACTGTTGAAAACAGTAAACCAGTTAACAGAACTCAATAGGTCAAGCTACCCACAAATGGGTCAGAGCAGTAATTAATGTGTTATTAGATAGATGGCTTGATTTCATTGTTTAAATCAGACATTACCAGCCTCAGTGCAAGGAGCACCTGCTAAAGTCTCTCTAGTCAAACCATATTTTCTCTGGATCGATAGATGGCGATAGGTGAGACAGGGAGGCGATAGGTGAGACAGGGAGGCGATAGGTGAGACAGGGAGGCGATAGGTGAGACAGGGAGGCGATAGATTAAGATTGCTAAAATAGATAGATATTTAAAGCAAACTGACAGGGCCTGCAAAAAGTCTACTACATGACTTTTTTTTACCAACTTCACCACTACCACCAAGATACCTTTTAGTCTGGTTTAGGAGCTCAGAAGGGAGCGGTGACGTTCCCTCTTTGTCATGTAAAAGTCCTTGGGTCTAAAAGATTGACTACAAGGCCCAAGCATTGCATCATAAAAGGAGGCCACATGCTTCCCCATACCTGGAAGCACCAGTTATTTTACACTGATGGAAAAATAAGGAGAGAAGAGGGAGCACTGGGGAGAAGAGTGGTCAGGGGGGGTGTATACAGGCCCTGTCACCTTGCCCTGAATGGGACATGGTGACAGTGTCTCCATTAGGCAAATATAGTGAATAGATGGGAATTTACAAAATCTAAAACATAAAAAACAGCCTTTGACATAACACACAGCAAGCACATAAAATAACATTTAAGAGGCGTAAAACCACTTTGGTAAATGGGGTTTATTTCCCTGCAACTTGTTTCCAACCTCCCCGCTGAATGAAACTGCTGCTGTCAAGCACGCGCTAAACTGCTTTTATGAAATCTAGTGCATTGTGGTGCCTGAATTATTTACTGGAAGCTGGGGCAGGCTGGCAGATCAAGTGTCTACACCTTGTTAATAAATAATATTATCATTGCTCATACAATGAGGCTCCATTGTTGCTACAAATAATTACTTAGCAACTTGGAAGGCCAATCAAGGCTAGTGAAGGGCTGAATAAAGACAAAGTACTTAATCAGTCAGAGAGAAAAGTAGAAACACTGAACCTGCTTCCTAGAAACAAGTATGGGAGCAGTCAAGGAATCATTCATTTCATTACCACCCGGGGAGGGGGGCAAAGAACAAAGTACATACAGGGAACACCGTCACTAGCCAAGCGGCTCACCCAAAACATAACTTTTACTCAAAGGAAATGCATGCATTCTTTATTTAAAACATTCAGCACTGAACACAAAATGTTAATGTGGTAAATATGACATTTTCACATGTAAACATTTCTGTCTACCACTTGCAGGCAGCAGGTGGCCAGATTGATCTTTCACATGCTGTGAAAATATGGACTGTTGAATGAATGCAAATGATCATCCCCCTCCGTCTTCTCCTAGAAGAGACTAGAACATCCTCTTTCCTAGTTTCCAATCACTGGCAGCCAGTTTCGGATTTGCTTTGTAAGGCTAAACAAACATTATGTCACTACAGTAACTAAAATAGTTCCATCACAGATGGTCAGATGTGGCCCGACCAGATGCTCTGCAGTTTAGCTATATTCACAAACTACTGCTCATGATACATGTACACACTGATGTGTCTGCTCGAAGGTACAGGCTTACAGCCCTCTAAAGTCTATGGACACAGTGTAATAAACTCAGGGGCCAGTTTTAGAAGAAATACAAGTTATGGATTTGACACACTACATATAGGAGTGTCTTCCTTTCATAATGATTTACTGAGCCACACAAGCCCTTACATTTCTATACAGCAGAAAGATAAAGGTTTAGGGGTTTGCAGGGTTCAGAACGTCATGGTGTCACTCATCTTAAAAGAGAGCGATGGTCCAACCTTTTTTGGACATAGTTCTCTTTAGGATCACAGGAGGACAATTACTTTGTCCTCCTGTAACCCAAAACTCAGCATATAGCAGGGTATTGCCCGCTATATGCCAAAAGCCCAGAGCCGGGCTGCATCCAGGAAAGATCCCAACAATATTGTCAGGACACAACTCGCTGGCTGAATAACAGCTGGCTCTGCCTCTCTAGAAGCAGAGCCAGCTGTGCCCGCTCTTTCCCGTCATCCATTCCTCCAGTCGGCGCTGGGAAAACGGAGAGGGGAGGGGGGGTATACCTGCGGGGAGCGGTGAATGACAAGTCACCGCTCTCTGCAGGGAGAAGATCAGGAAATGAGCGATCAGCGGGATATGGTAGCTTAGTTCTTAAATCAATGGACCCACTAGACAGGGAGAATAGGAGTGCACTTCGTTTTAGTTCTCTGAATTAGGGATGCACCAAAATTTCGGCCGCCAAAACATTTCGGCCGAAAACGGTACTATGAGCAAAATGCCGATTGTACCTAAAAAAAAAAAAAAAAATGGCCGAAAATGCGGTGCATCCCCAGCTTCTCTCCTCCCCGCAGGGAGCTGTGTCCCCTCCAATCCCTACTGCTCTCCCCTGTCTTTGATGGCAGCGGGGATTGGAGAGGACACAGAGCTGATCCAGCTGCCGGTATCCAGCGGGGAGAAGAGAAGCTGTCACGGGGCTGAGCAGGGCAGTGCAGGGGAAAGAACCTTCAGGATGCTGAGCGGAGCAGTGCGGGGAAGGGAGCTTCGCTCCGGTGACAGGTGGGAGGGGGCGAAGCAGTCAGGATGCCAGTGGAGAACAAACACTGAGCGATCAGTACTGATCACTTAGTGTTTGTAAAAACCTGAGGACATAGGGATTACTATGTCCCCAGTTTATGAATGAACAGGAATTGCTATACATCACTTCCTGGTAATTTATGAATGGGGACTATCTGATCACTTTGTGAATGAACAGAAAGCAGCTCAGTACAGAAGCTTCCTGCTCATTCATAACTGCATTCATCATTAATATTTACTAGTTCCACATTGTGAATACACAGGAAGCCTCTGTACTTCCTGTTTGAGTGCTAGGGCTGCACACAAAAAAGTGGAGACTGAGTCCTCAATCTCTTTTTCCATTTTAAAAGGGAAATATCAGGGGTCTGTTCAGATCTGATATTATCCCCAAAGCTCCCAACATTAAAGTAAAAAAAAAAAAAAATTTAAAGGGGGGAGGGGATTTTGGGCCTGAAAAATGTAGAAATTTTGGTTTCCGGCTAAAAATATAATTTCGGTGCATCCCTACTCAGTTACGAATTATATTCAAGGTCATTGTTTCAATCTGACTGGTGACTGAGTAAACTCTTAGAACTAGCATGATCATTTTCCATAAGGCTTTCTGTGGGAGACAGCAAGGAGGGTGCTCCAGCACAAACAGCAGATGTGTTCCAGGATCAAAGGAATACAGACAAAAAGGGAGAGTGGAGGGTAAGCTGGTCCACAACAGCAATGTCAGGGTGAAACAATGGACTATTCAGCAGCTAGGCTAAATTTACTACATCTCTGTAACTAACTTTTACCTAAAATGCACCTTTAATTACAAGATGCAAACACCAGCTGTGCTCTGTAAACCAAAAACAACTGCACAGCAATTCTCATTCATCTGATGAGATTTGACTCTTAATGTGAGATTTAAGGTGCTGCCAAAAGTTACAGAAAATATTACATTCTTTGCTATGCAGTTTTACCATTTCTGGCTAAACTGACCAAAATTACCAAAACCATTTCATATTTTTAGATGTAGTTGATTATCAAAAGCAAAAACATTTCCATCTTCACAAGTTAAATTAAGGTCAGGTTTTTTTTTTTCCATCTTTATTTTGGTAATTGAGTCTAAAGCTACAGCACATTACCAAAGGAAGGAAGCGTGGCACTATCTTGCACAATAGAGAAGACATATCCTGATTCCTGGCTGTACAGAGTTGGCAAATACATCCATGTGCTGTACTAAAAATATGAACACATACACTGGCTTTGTTATAAAATGGATGTGGATCATAAAGGCCTGTCTTGCCGGTGCTGCCATCATGGACTAAAGTTCCCCATCGACCACTAGCCAAAGAAAGTGTGTCCCGGTACTACTTTTGATAAAAAAAAAAAAAATTTGTGTTCAAAACAACAAAATGAAAAATTAGTTTTAAAACAATAGGATTCTCTCCAACAGCAGGCACATCGTACTACACCAGTAATGGGGTTATGGAAATGCTAGGTGCTTGGCTATTAAGCTGATGCTATTGCTTTCCGTCACTGACTTGCAAGTACAGTGGTAAAGAATCTGACTTTTCTCTGAATTCTGTGTGCTTGTTGCAGGTCAGAGGTGAGAAATGGCAACACCCATATCGCTTTCCTAACAGGTGTAT